CTTCATTTCGGGGGCCCGGATTACCCTGTTCGTCAAGTTTCAAACTCCGGAAGCCTTCCATTTCCGTCACACCATAAATGCCCTCTCTCCAACAACCACACCATCCCAAGATGTGGCTGCTCCAGTCAATCGCCACGATCGTCCGTGTCGAATCGCTGAGCCAATGAAACCTTACCTTCCGCTATTCGCGCAATTTGATTGGCTTTCACCGTTGACTCAAACGATGGGTCGTACGCCACCGACACCTTGTTGGATTTCATGGCGAGCTCCAGGATGGCTTGATCCCCCGTTAACAGTCATCGACATGTTCCGCAGCGCGATGCGGCACATGTGTACTAGTCCACGGCAGCTCCGAGCACACAATCCAATCCTGGTCCCACATCGAATATTGCCATGCCGTCGATTGTCCTGACACCGATCGACGTGATACCTGGCCCAAGAAACAGCACTGCTAGAACTACTTTTCGTGGATGAATGTAGGAACACATGGAGTAGTGCGGTCCAGCCTCACCACGCCATTCCTCTACGAGCCGGCGTCGGACACGTGAGTATTTCGCTCCGTCGACCGCCCGTTTCGCACAACGGAGACCGTGACGAGATTCAGCTGCGCCCATGTGAGAACAGCAAACGGCGATGGCATGGCTGCCAAGAGACCAACAACTACTTGAGATACCCCATGGCGTGGTGTACATTCACACGTCCCCTACTGGCGCGCAAGGCATGGCTGTCCTACAACCTACCGAGCACATTGAGCACCAGCACCAAAAGGACAGTTGTGTCCTTCTGAAGCGACCGCATCACACCAAATATCCACAGCGTCAGCATCCAATCGCACTTTTACCTATCGTCGTCGTTCCTCACCCTTTCAATCATCACATCAAAGTGTTTCATTTTTCTCTTGACGTGGCTTCGACAGCCACCTAGTCGACCACTGTGAACTTCGCCGCACGGTTCATGTAGACGAAAGGGAACAAGCGTGCGTTTGGGTCCACCAGCGCCACACGAGCCGCAGGTCCATCGTTCACGACAAACACCACTTCCGTCGCACAACGCTGAATGGTCACCACGTCGCCCACCTGAAGCTTCGTCACGTTCGCAACACACGCGTCATTGATGCTGATGGCTCCATTCTTGTGACAGATATAGTGGTGATCCAACGAATAGCCTGAACGGCCGCGGGCAAACAAACCGAAGATATTGCTGCTTCCAACTGCATCGATGCGAAGTTGGAACGTCCCAGTCAGCGCTTCCGTCGCAGTCACAAACTCACTGCAAACCAACGTCATCTCGACCGTTCGAAAGTCGTTGGACACTGTCACGTGTTTGTTTGTCGAGCTCCATCGAACCTGTTGTGTTGGTGCGTCCCATTTCGGCAGCTTCAAATACTCCATCATGGCCTGGAGCTCGTTGCGCTCGACGTTGGACAGCCCACCAAGTGGCAGCATGGTACCAGTGTGCAGGAAGTTGACAACGCGGCGAAAGAGCGTCGGATTCATGTCCAAAAAGTATGCGTGTGCGGCACTGTCGGGCTGCCACGCCCCCGACTCCAGCAACGCGTGGAAGTAGCTGCCTTCCACACGGAGCAACGTGTCTTTAGACGTCTCAAAGGTCGTGCCCCCCACGTTGAGCATGATAAGGTCAGGCGCATGGACCGCAGTTTGCTTGATATTGTCTTGGAGCTCATTCCACTCGGCGACTAACTGTTTCAAGTCCTCGACTTGAACCAGCAGGTAGTTCAACGTATTTCGAATCGCCTCTGCGAGTTGGTTGGCCTCTTGCGACGTACGAGCCATTGCTTGGTGCTCGTGAGTAGAGTTGCAAAGTGATACATCTAGGAAGACGCTGACCCAACCTGGTGTTCTTCAACACGTGGGACCCGACAGGTCAACGGTCTTGTCACGTCTATGGATATGACAACTGCGAGTCTCGACCTCACTGAAAGCTAGCGCATGGGCTGGCAATCCGTGGGCATCTT